GTTTTGGATTGAAGATTTTGAATTTTGAGAGAGAGAATGATCTATAAATGGTTTAATTGTAACGCAGAAGGTTTCTTGGTGGTGTCCAAAATTGCGGAAATATTTGAAATTGAAATAGTACACAGTGCCCGGGCGCCCGAGCAACATGCCCCGACCCAAAATCCAAATCAGGACGGACACAGAGACGGGAATGGGAACATTATCCACCACAAAATCAAATCAATTAGGAATTCGGTTTACTGATATCATAATGGGTTGGACGTTTCAGATGTCGGATGACTTGACTCAACCAATTAAGAAGTCGAATTGAAATCAATTTACAATTGTCCTGTCATGTTGATGGACGTAATCATAATTTAGTTCTTCCAACTCATAATTCAGTCGAGCCTATTTATTACAAAAATATTTTAAAAAGCATAGTTCAGATTGAATCGCTGACTAGCAATATTGGTGGGTTCTTTAGTAGGCATAGTCATAGCCCGCATATTGTCCTTGCCAAGCTAATTTATGTCTAAAGAAGGCAGATAGATTCATGTAAAACAATAATGCTTAGGGTACAGGGCACTCTTCACAAGTCTCACAGGGGATTCAAATTTGTCGACGTGGAAGGTAATAAAATAAAAAAAAAATGCAACAAAACAAATGGAAATGAGGGAACGTTAGACATAACCCCCGCAGCCAAGATACCCCCATTTTAAGCTCTCCCAAAATCCCTCCCTCCCGATCGACATCACACCCACCATCCCCTCCGATGCTGCCACACCTCCGGTCACTATACAAACATCGGAAAACACATGTGAACGGCAACACACTCATTTCCCCCAATTTGAGGTCTGCCAAAATCCCTCTCACAGTATACGACACACCCACTATCCCCTTTGGCGTCGCCGCACCTCCGGTCAGAATATAAACACCAGCGACCATTTTTCCACTTATTGCGGTTGAAGCCTCGAGAAATGGGAGCTTGGTGGGGTTGATTTCGACTTTCTGCTCCAAGGATAATAGCTCTGTTGTTCGGGTATTTGCTTGCAACCTCCAGCGACAATCTTGGCTATCCTAGGTATGATGGTATTCTCATTTATTTTCTTCCCAGAAATCCACGATCCGTGAGTATGTTGAAAACAATATGTCAATTATCCACAATGTAAAAAAAAAAAAGGAATTTTGTACACTGATGTAGATATATTTATGACCTCCGTCGTCGATCGCCAAATATAATGCATTAAATTTCGTTGTAAAGAAAATTTCACTTCTTTTCCAGTACGACAAAATTGGAACTCCTTTCATTTTACTTCAGCCATTTTTGGTAAGAACTAGTATGAAGGTTTCATTCAAATTCATTTGCAATTCAATTGAATTAATCATGACACTTACGATTTTAAATGTGAAGAAAAATGCTACTGTATTAGTATTTTCCGTTGTTGAGATCTTGGGATTCGTCACTGTATCACCATAATGTGTGATTTTCTTTTTTAAGCTACTGCATGGTGATATTTTCCCTTGTTGAACTCCTCGAATTCCTAATTGTAGCACCACAATATGTGATTTTTTAAGGTAGTGCATGGGACAATGTAAATGGTTATGTTTTGATGAACATTATCGCTTATTTTATAGAGTGGAAGAGAATATGGAATACGTGAATGATGACCTGTTGGTGGAGTCCAATAATGAGAACGTTGCGGATTATATGAACAGGGATGAAGAAGAAACATTAAGACAAAATGATCCGATTGTGCCAAAGGTCAGTATGATGTTCAACAACGAAAAAGAAATGTTTGAGATGTACAAGAGATATGCTTATCATATAGGTTTTTCCCTTAGAAAACAAAACTCAAAAAAGGGGGATGATGGCGTTTTGAGATATGTAACGTTCACATGCAGTCGTGAAGGCAGAAGAAGTAGTAATGCAAGTGGGCTTTTGAAACCTAAACCAATCAGTCAGACTGGCTGTAAAGTAAGGATCTCAGCTTCTTCAGATAGCCATGGAATGTGGAGAATTAACACAGTCCACCTTGATCACAACCATGAGACTAGTCCTTCCAAATCTAGGTTGTATCGATGCAATAGGGAGTTGAGTGCAAATGTGAAACATAAACTTGAAGTAAATGATATGACAGGAATTTCATTACATAAAAGTTACAACTCCGCAGTTGCGAAAGTAGGTGGATATGAGAATATGACTTGTATAGAGAAGGACTGTGGAAGCTATATTGAACAAGTTCGATGATTAAGACTTGGAGAGGTACAGTCCTACTTTTCGAAAATGTGAGTATGGTGCTTGGGTTTTTACTTTAGCATTGACTTAGATGATGACTCTCGACTAAAGAATGTCTTTTGGACAGATAATAGGTGTAGGTAAGTGTATAAAGAGTTCGATGGTGTTGTCACATTTGATACCACCTACCTCACTAACAAGTATGACATGCCGTTTCCTCCTTTCGTTGGAGTGAATCATCATAGACAATCAACATTATTTGGTTGTGGTTTGTTAGCTAATGAGAACACGGATACGTTTGTCTCGCTATTTAGGACATGGCTTGAGTACATGCATGGACAAGCTCCGAATGCAATAATTATTGATCAAGATCGAGCAATGCAAAACGCAATTGGGATTGTTTTCCCATGTACGAGACATAGATGGTGTTTGTGGTATATTTTGAAGAAGTTGCCAAAGAAGTTTATCTATCATGTCGATAAGGGCTTGATATTTTCAGCATTACATAATTTGGTTTATGATTCACAAACTGTTAAAGAATTTGAAGAAGGTTGAAACAGATGATCGATACATATGACTTGCATGAGAATAATTGGTTGTTAGGATTGTGTGATAATAGAGGTCGTTGGGTTCCTTACTTCTTAAGAACCACATTCTGGGCAGGGATGTCCACAACTCAATGAAGTCAGAGTATAAATGCGTTCTTCATTGGATATGTGCATTCGAAAATCTCATTGAAGCAATTTGTAGAGTAGTACGAAAGAGCACTGAGGAGTAAGGTAGAGTAGGAGTTTCAGGCTGATTTCAGGTCATACTAACAAATGGTGCCATTTGCAACGAATTACGAAATTGAGAAGCATTTTCAGTCAGTTTATACCATTTAGAAGTTCAAAGAAGTATAAATGAGTTCAAGGGAAAGGTTTATTACGACCTTATTTCTGCTTCTGAAGGATGTTTGGTGACGACATATGAGGTGCGTGAGAATGTGATGTATTATGGGCAACGAAAGAAAAAAACATTTTCTATCTTATTTAATATGGAGCATGTGAGATAATTGCCGTTGCCACTCATTCGAGTTCAGGGGAATCATTTTTAGACATGCAATTACAATATTGATTCGAAACAACGTCACACGACTGCCCGAGAAGTACACGCTACGGAGATGGAAGAGAGATGTCAGTAGAGCACACACGAGGATTGCAGTGAACTACGATGGTCTAGTCAGTACTCTTGGACAATTGAGATATGACAAGATGTGTAAGGCTTTTTTGCATGTGATCGACCTCGCTGTAGATGACGAAATCCAGACACGTGTTATAATGGACTGGATAAAATTTCAAGCTACAGAGCTTATGTCAACGAAATTGTGTATTGGAAATAGTATCATTTCGCAGCATACTCTTCATTTTAGTCTCGCAATGTACTAATTCGCAAACTACCGGTAGCGGGAGCATACGGGATCCTAAATTAACAAAGCGGAAGGCACACCACGGAGACTTCGGAGGAAAAGTCCATTGGAGCCTACGTCAAAGAAATCAAGAGTGATGTACTTTGCTAGCGTCTCATTTGTAGTACAATCTTTTCTCATGTATTTCGGGTGTACATGCACGCGACATCATGTAAAGGAAAGAGACCAAGAGTTAGACAAAGTAATGTAAAAGAGGCAGTTCCTGATTTTGCGACCTCTGAACAACAATATTCCACTCAGACACCTTTCTTATATTAACAACTCTTATTAGTTAGTACTTTGTGGTTCTCGTGATTATTAGGTTGCTTTTTTATTCACGTTATTGTGTGATGCAGGGCAACACCGAACGTCAAGTATTTACACAAGATTTGCGATCATCGAATTTTATCCCGCCATCATCAATGAATGTTGAATTCAATGCCAAAGGTGACTACAATAACTTAATCCTCATTGCATTAAGTTACATTTGTATTGTATTCGGTTACTTATTTCAATATTGTCCAAATTATGATAGGTCATTCGTTTCCATATTACTATCCGCATTTACCGCATCTAGATGACCCAAAGTTATAATTGGTAGACTGCAGTTCAGATATTAACTCGGCAGGCAATTCATATCGTAAGTTTTACAAATTTGGGATTTCTTCTCTGAATGAAAAATGTGTTCTTGCTTGCATTCATAATTGCCACATTCGTTAGCATGTGGGATCCCATGCATATGACCCCATACGTTTGCAACTTAACCGATCTTTAATTAATCAGCTGCTCAGGTGAATTAATTATTTTTCATAATAATAGTTTAATAAAACTTACATACATAATTAATCTTTTTATAATTTAAAAGGCAGCTCTATCTATTTATGCCTATGACAGTACAGCTAGTTTCTTGCCTAATGAAGTTGGTAATAATAAATAAAAGATGACATTATAATATTTTCTTTCTTTTCTTTCAGGGATGTACAATTTGTATCACATGATTCGGATTGGATTCTTAAGTACTAAATTTGACTACTTTTGTTACAGAAGTACAAGAAAGCAGAGAGTTGCCCTGGATATGCATATAAAACATAGTGAATTCAAATGTAGAAGTCTCCCCTTGATAATCGGACTCTCATTTTGGACCTGGCCTATTCATGTTAGTCCATTGCCCATTGCATTTTTGAAGTAGTGTGGGGAAGCACATGACTTCCCAAGATTCCTTATATTTTTGAAGCATGTAGGATAAAGACGAGGTGATTTTTTCTCTACGCTTGTGGTTTACTCTAATTCGATCGAGGTAGTGTAGGGATGTATATATTGGTCAGATATCATATTTTGAATAGGAAAATGTGTTCTTCGCTGCTTGTTTTTGGAGTCCAACATTGATGAACATATCAATTCGAGTTGCTGCTCTAAACCAGTAGGACTTGAGTACCTATTTATCCAGTTTCTCATTTGTATGCTTATTGTATTGTATATGTTGTTTTTGGAGTTTCTTGGTATAAATTAAATACAACTTGTGTACTTAAATGCGGCTAAAGATAATTCATGTGTATATTAAGTAAATTAAGGCCATGTTTGATAGAAGTTAAATTCCATGGAAATCATTTTCCAACTTCTACTTTTTATGGTGTTTGATAGACTTTTTTTCTAGGGAAATCATTTTCCATCTTTCTTGCCATCTCACCCAAATTCCATCTTTTCCTTGAAAATCAATTACCACCAATATGGTGGGAATTGAATTTCCCGGTTATTGTTGACATTTTTTTTTTTTTTGTAATGAAAACAAATTCTATTTCTAATTGTAAAAAAATATTTTCATTTAATTAACAATTTTCATATAAAATAAAGCCAAACGAATACCAAAAGATAGATGATTTTCTTTATTTTTTTTTTGGTAATAGAAACAAATTCTATCCCTAATACTAGTAAATTCTATCCCTTTAATTGACAATTTTCATGTACAACAAAATCAAGCGAACATCAAAAAACACTTTTATTTCAACATTTTTCACGTGAAAAATTATACCAATCAAACACAATAATTTACAATTCCCAACAAAACAATTTTTAGGCAATTCAATTTCTTGGAATTCGTTTTCTTTCCACCCAAATTCTATCTTTGTAATCAAACGGACCCTAAATGTAGCTAGTTTTTAAAGTATTTTCCTGCTCATTATCGTTTATCTTCTGGTCAGTGAAGCTTAGCTTTTTTTCTTTTTACTTCCAAATTTGGGATTGTGGATCTACGAGTACCAATTACTGCAGATCCCATGTTGCGAGTCACAATAAATTCATTCACGCATAATATATTAGTTGAACAAATAAGTCATGAACATAAAACTACTTTACGATTTCAGGATTTTTGTGGTGCTCTGTTTACGTAAAATTGTACTACTACTAGTTGACAGTGTAGTATGTCCTAAGCATTACGATGGAGTAGGCAGTGGACCATTTGAAAAAATAAATTGGCAATAGATAAGAAATACACATAAACCTACATTGCATAACACCCATTTTCCGATGAAACATACGGAGTTATGTCCTTCATATGTTCTAGTACAAACATAATTCAATTAACATGTTCAACATAGTACAACTACTCAAGAGGCCTACTTTACTTTTCCATTTCCTTCCGAACTTCCTTTTCCCTTGCGGAAAGTAATTTCAAGTTAATCTCTAAGTCTCGTTCGTCGAATATTCAAGCAAGAATGTCGAACATACTTGGCAAATCTTTGACTTCCTCATTTGTTGCAATATTGAGAGCTTCATTAATTGTACTCGTCTCCACTTGACTCTCCTTGTTAACCCATTCAAAAAATCTACATTTATTACTGCATGTGTTAAATAGCGACCCTTGTTGCGTGTTTGTCGTTCGACCTAAAAACATTTCTGAAATCCATGTGCACACAATGGGCAATGACATTTTCTTGGGCATTCACCGAAAAAATGCCCATTGCTTCTACATTTGTGACAAATTTTAGCATTCCTTCCTTTGATATCATTAGATGGGAAACACGCACGTAAATCAATTGTACAAATCATTGTATAAATAAACCACAAATTGTTCAAAAAAGATGCAACATGTGGAATAAATCAATTGCAAATACACTTCTCCATTACTCATTGTTATCTGCCCAAAGTAGTGCCAACATACCCACATCATCCTATGCTAATATGTATAACAAATCAAATTGACATGAAAATTAGCCTCACCCATTGTCATACATCATAGTTCACGTGTAAACACTAACCAGAATGAATTAATCCCCAGTTATGTACATCAGGAGTTAGGAATGCAATCAAAAGAACAACTTGGAGCAAAAAATGTCTAATACTAAGATGTGCAGTTATCTGTTACATTTTGGTTCCACCAAAGGATGTCATATCAGTAACTAAGCCTTGGAAGCATATTTTTCTTTGTTATTTACAAATAAGCCAGTTCAACTTTGTCTCCTTCAGCATTTCATTCAAAAGGTACCTAGTTAGCTTACAGCCAAGATAGAAGAAAATGTAATATTAAAGAACACAACATCCATTTATAATTTTTTACAGCCATTCAGTAAGTCTGTTTCAACTCGCTGGTTGTTTGTGCTATTATCCATCGTTTTCACCATAACCACTCAACTAATTAAAATGTAGGAGATGTCATCATGGGTTTCTTAAAGTGCTTTTCCATGAAAAGATCATGTAAGTCGATGGCTACACTCTAGTTTTATCCGAACAACTAGCAATATAACGATAGAAGCATAGATCAATCAAACAACTTATATTTCCAACATGATAAAATTTATTAAGAAGCCAATAAAATGAGTTTTTAGATTGATGGAACACCACAATTAGTCAGTCAACAATTAAGGCTTTGTACCTCTCACCTCAGGTTCACAAGACTCCGAAAATGCCAAGATTGTCGTTGGAGGTCGTAGGCAAATACCCGAACAGCAGAGCTATTATCCTCGGAGTAGGAAGTTGAAATCAACCCCGCCAGGCTCCCATTTCTCGAGGCTTCAACTGCAGTAAGTGGAAAAATGGTCGCCGGTATATTCTGACCAGAGGGGATAGGTTGGTGTGTTGTATACTATGAGAGGGATTTTGGGAGACCTCAAATTGGGGGAAATGAGTGCATTGCCGTTCACAAGTATTTTTTGATATTTGTTTAGTGACTGGAGGTATGGCAGCGCCGGAGGGGATGGTGGCTGTGGCATCGACCAGGAGGGAAGAATTTTGGGGGAGCTCAAACTTAGGGTATCTTAGCTGCGCAGGTTATGTCTAGCGTTCCCTCCTTTTCGTTTGTTTTGTTGCATTTTTTTTTTTATTTTATTACCCTCCACGTCAACAAATTTGAATCTCCTGTAAGAGACCTGTGAAGAGTGCCCTGTACCCCAAGCATTATTGCATGCCGAACTAATTATTAAGAAATCTTCCATTTTGTTGTCACTTCTTTTCACCATTACCTTGAAAACTTCAAATTTCATATTTTTGTACGTTTTGCTTTTATGTATAAATTTCGATGGACCCACTTAGTCATTATTTAATCATACAGTATTTTTTCTATGGTACTTAATCACACATTCTTCATTAAAATGATATTACATGCAAATCTAAAATTTTTCTTTTTTATTTAACCACACATTCTTCATCAATCACTATTCCATAATACATTTCTTCAACTTAATGGGGCTCAAAGCCTCAAACAGGCCTTAATAAACAAGTCGTGGCATATCGGTTAGAGGAGTTATGAGATTCCCAATAATGTAAGCTAATTATATTTTATTTTTGATAAGACTAAGGTCCATTGTTTTTCATGGATGACTAGTAATTAACAACTTGGAGAAAATGGAAAACATAGTACTTCACAATTTAGCCCTTGTTTGAGTCTTTGGAAAAAATGCATTTTTCAATAGTATTTTGACATCATTTCAACCACACATTCTTCAATAAAATTATATTACATGCAAATTCAAAACATTTCCTTATTTTTTAACCATACATTTCTCATCAATATGCTATTCAAAAATTCATTCTTCCCCCCAAAATGGGGCTCAAACAATGGCTTATTATATTGTTATTAAACAAAATGTCACAGGTTCAAATGTCAACTATTTGCATTGCAGGCCTCATTAAACAACTCTAAATGGCCTAAGTTTTTGATTTTATTCGATTGCCCTTAACATGTATGGTTCGTCAAATTTACATCGATAACATTTTGCTTGAGCTCAATTTAGGTTTTGGAGTTGAACTCGAAATAATTATTTAGCCCTTATTTGATTTCCATTATTTTAAAATACATTTTTCCCTCCCTTGTTTTTTTAACCAAACATTCTTAAATAAAATGTGTAACACACAAACCCAAATTTTTTCTTATTTTTTAACCACACATTCTTCATCAATTTACTATTTCAAAATGCATTCTTCAATAAAAATGGGGCTCAACATACTCTTAATTGTATATTTAAAGCACTTTAATATTTTGCCTATGTAAAAGTACAATGGAGTTTGGGTCAGTACATAACAGAAAGGCCCATATTAGTTAACAAGTGAGCTACAATTGTTCAAATTTGTAGTTTAGTTTGGGGAACAAATTGGAGCATTTAAGGTTAGCCCGGAATAATAATGAAAAAAATCATAAATCTGGTATTAATCACGCATCAAATCAATTTTCAGACATTAAGTTTAAAAATACAAAAATCAAGTATTTATCAATGTTCTGAAAATCAACCCGACCATTGACCCGAAAAAGAGAAAGGCTCAAGGGTCAAACGGTCGAATCGGGGTCGAACTGTTGGTAATAAATTAATAAATTATATCCACAAAATTGACAAAATTAAGTTAATTTTTCAATTTAATTAATATATATAGACAAAAGCACCAATTAATGATTTAAATTCATGTTAATGTAGAATACAATAAATAATTAACATTTAAGCATTTCAATTTTCAATTGTCCTAAGGCCCATCCCACATCGGATTGTCAAAATATGTGCATGATGAGATTATACTTTAAAAGTCGTCCTTTAGTCACTGATTAGTTATCCCACATCAGTTGATCAACAATCAACTTTATGGAAATTTTCTTTTATAAACAGCAATAGTGATGGGAGGGGTTGAAAGGTGAACTGGGCCTGCTCTTGTTGGGCTCAAAAGATGAGGAGTTGAAAGATTTTTAATGAAGACATTTTCTAGAACCAGTTAAAAACCCGTAACTGGTTTTCGATTTCTGATTTGATCGGTCGGTTAACGATTTTATTTACCGATTTCCTATCTTCCACTTAATTGATAATGACCGGACCGGATTTGAGACCGGTTCACGGTTACCCTCGTTGAATTGGTCGGTTCGGTCCGATTTTCAAAACATTGGTATTTATTGACTAATTAAATATATTAAGGTTACAATTTTACGATTCATAGTCACAAATGGGGACTTATAGGTCACAACGTTATATTATTAAATTAATTGATCACATATTATTTCTACAGTCACAAATCGAAGACATTATAGGTTACAATTTCATATTATCAAATTAATTGGTCACAGATTACTTTGATAATGGCAAATCGAAAACATTATAGACAATGTATCTATTGGTCACATATTTTCAAATTAATTGGTCACAAATTATTTTTCAATCATATATTATCAAATTTTTATCAAAATTTTAGGTCACAGTTAAATACTTGGTCACAGATAATCAAATAATTGATCATGCACACCAAATAATGGGTTATATACCACCGCCATCAACACTACCACCACTGCCACTACGGCCATTTGCAACCATCCTCACACCGCCACGACAATAGCACCACAATACCACACGACACCATACAACCACAATCACAACCGCCACAATACCACCACCACCATCATGATTATCAATTATCATAACCATAAGCACCATCACCACCATTCGAAATTCCCCACCAACCAACAATCACAAAAATATCTATAAAACATCACCACAACAGTAGATTGATCACCACCACCACAAATTTATGATCATTGTCGCCGCCACACCCACAGTCACTGTCATCACCAACACAACACCAAACTTGCCGTCACCACCAACGTCAACATCACCTCATCAGCATCACCACCAACAAGACAAAAAAAAAAATCATATCCAAATTTATTAGTCACCGACACAACCACCATGACCATATATTGAGACCTAATTTTCCTAAATCTCGCATCATTTATTGGTGATGCGATGGCCACCACTCAGATCCAATGCACAGAGTCGTCTTCACGTCTAGAGACACAGTGCTGCTGCAACAGTCATGGGCTGCTTTGCGCATTTGGTGGGGGGAGAGCTACGGTTAGGTGATGGATGAGAGAGAGCAGATGTGGGTATAGGTTTCATCTCGAAACAGTGGTGCAAGGCTGCACCGCTAGTAGAGAGGAAAGAGAGGAGTAGTCATAGATCGTGTGAGAGAGAAAGAGATGGGTATTGAGAGATGCATAGAGAGAGAGAGTTATGGAAATGAATTAGGGTTTTGATAGTTGGGTGGATGAAGTGTGTTTTGATACCCGATTTGTGAATAATGAAACTTCATCCCTGATTTTTGAATTATAATCTTTATGTAATTTCCTTGTAATCAAATCCAACTGCGCCCAAAATAAGTTAGTTCAAGTCAAATCACATCAAATTAGTCAGAATCGCATTTCATTACCATACATACACTAGTCTACTTTAGTAATTTTCGATATATGCGTTGAAATGTGGAAGCAAAATTATCCAAAAATTAAAAATTTCTTTAATTTAATAAACAAAATCGTCTAAATGTTTACTTGTATGTTATGTCAATAATAAAGAGTTTGAATTTTTTTTACCTAAATTCGATGGTCAATTCTTGAATAAATTCTGAATCATGAATTTCCAACATTTTGGATCACAAGCTTCCAACTTTTTAATTTAAAGAATTTCATGTTTCAAACCTCCAAGTCTTCTATGGTATTTTACAAAATCAAGACCACACCAATGGGTGAGCATGTTTTTGAATTAAATCAATAAACTAATTCTTGAACTGAACAATTGAATAAGACGAGAAAATAATTATTTGTCTCTTTCTTTTTCTCTTTCCAAATTGAAATACTATGAAATTATGTATTATGATTGTTGTTCAATCCCAAAAGATGTCCCTGTTCCATCTAATCTCTATTTATAGAGATGAAATAGTTTCATTCTTTGTACAATAATAATTTCACATTTAAATATGAGTTCTAATTAAAATCCAAATCCATTTAGTTTACATTTAATTACATATGTAGTCCTACATTTTCAATTGCTATTATAATTAAATTTACAACTTTCATAGTAATTACTACGAAGTACAAAACTTTATTGTATTTACAATTAAGTCCAAAAATATTATAATTATCGTGATTAAGTTTCAATCCTCTATAAAACCTCCACATGGATCTGAATAGACATATATTATCCAAGTTTTAATACTTAGTCATGTCTAGTCGACCTAAACCACCAAATCTCATTATTAGTCTTTGTTTTTTTCACTAAAAGCAAAAGATTGAATTATTGGAATATATAAAATTACAGAAACCAATGAATCTGTAATACTTTTCTCTGACCTACGTATATGTACTTTATTCTGGTTTGAGAACTGATAATTAGGAACAAGCATAAATGATCGTTTTCGCTCTTTTAATTATTCTCACTAACTTAAGTATCATTTTCTTCAACGATCCTATGAATTAATCACAGATGTCGAAGTCTAGCCAAAGCTAAACAGTGAGCTCAAATTATAACCATTCGATAAAAAATACTTAAGTAGCCACTCTAC